TGAATTCAACCATAACAATCAAGATGAAAATTTTAGTTTCATAATCTAAACCCATTAGTGAATGATTTGTTCGCCACCTCGGATGAGATATCATTCATAATGATGTGTTTGACTTCAAAGTAAAAATTCCAGAAACTAAACTCTCCCAAAAAAAATTAACTTTTCAATCCTCTTTTCAAACTCAAATAGGGTGTTAAACATTGCATAAATGGCTAAAGAAATATCTCCCCACTCTCACTTTAATGCTATTCCACCTCTGCCTAAACTTTAAAACCATTTTATCCATCATATTTTGTGTATAAGACCAAACCTAAGCCTAGGATTTCTAAAGAGTTTTAGAGGAAATTTAAATCGCGACTGTCCATTCATTGTATTTAATTTGGATGGTCAAGATCATGCCATCTTTGGATCCTATCAAACTGTGCTGATTAGCTTATATCATGGGATCTGATTTTGGAGGCTGAATTAAAATTGTGGTAAATTTAATGGCTAAACTAATAGCCTCAATGTTTAAGCGGCTGACTCAATTGACCACTACCTTTCATGTGGCCTAACCACTTATTGTTTGGTCTAAAGAGATTTCCCCATCTTCACCACTATATATATATATATATATATATATTAAATACCAAAAATTTGAAAAATCAAAACTACTTCATTTCTTCATCATATATAATGAGCAAACACTCTATAGATTCAAAATAAATAGCCCAATCTTACAAAATAATCTTAGCCTAATTTGATGAGTAATTTTTAAGTTACTTCCATTATAAGTATGTCATATTTTTTTGTATAAATGAAAATTACTTATTAAACTGAGTTAAATTTTTTATGAGGTGAATTAGGGTATATCCTTGACACTCTATAATTTTTTAAGGGCCATTTGATGTAATCATAGCTTAAACATGAATTTACAAAAACCTAGATCATAATTTGACTTAAATTTTTGAAAATTTATTTATAATTCATTTTCATGCCCAAACATTACAAGCTTGTGCTTTTTAGAATGAGTACGATGGGATCTTTAATTTAAAAATAAATTTAACTTATTATCATGCATAATTTTAGAGTAAATGATAATTAAATGTTTTGGAATTTTTGTACGTTGCTAAAAAAATGCATGAACCACCACTAGATAACACTATACCACCAACCTGAGAGGTGAACAGGAAAAAATAAGATCCCATGCAAAGAAAGTCTAACCAACAAACTAAGAAAATGCTCCAGCTACCACAAGACTGAAGGTGAATGCTGAATTCAACAAAAACAATTAAGCTCCCAGCAATATATAACATCTCCGCATATAGTCAAGAATAATAATTCCCATACATGAGAATAATGTAGGCACAAATGACAATTACAACAAGACCCATCAATCACTAATTAAAACAATCACCAATTACATAGCTCAACAAACCAATATAGTAAAAATAGAACAAAAAATGACCAACCTCCACCATCCAAACTGAACGCGGGAAAACCTGAGAGCAAGGTTCCATGAACTAGTAGAAGAACAAAAACCAACCTAAAAAAAATTAGAGAATAAACACAGCAGTAGGATTCTCAAGCAGCAAAAATTCCAAACCTGAATCAAGAGGGAAATAGAACCCCCCAAAGAAACCAATCAAAAAACAACATCAAAGGGGAACCCCACAGCCACCAAAAAGGAGAAGAAACACAAAAACTAATACTTAACATAAGATAAACCAATTTGATCCAGTCTTAAGAGGCCTTTAAGAAGAAACAGTAGCTGAGAAATTGGTACCTCAGTCATACCATTAAAATCACAACCAAACTGCCAATAGATTGATCAGACGCATTCCCTTCCTCCAGAATGACAAAAAAAGAATAGTTAAGAGTGCTTAAGATATCCCTTATGCCCATCCAAATAAAAAATAAAGCAGAAGAATAAATCCTATCCTCCAAATCATGAAGAAACTTGTTGTAAAAAAAAAAAAGAACCCACTTCCAGCACAATATTAATTTGATAAAGATTAGCACATAGACTTAAGCCGTGAAGCATCGTATAGGAGATAACAAAGTTAACATCACCATTAGCAATTTGACCAGCAAAACACAACATGTAGGTGCCATTATGATCTCTAATGACACCACCAGAGCAAACATTAGTGCCCAATCTCACACTATCCACATTCAACTTAAAAGAATTAGAATGAGGCTTCATCCAAGTAATACACCTCATCATCTTATGATAATTATCTACCTCCAAATTAATGACAAATGCAGAAGAAGTAAATATAAAGTTCTTAAAGATCTTAAAAGAGAGTAAATCAGCAAATTAAAGGGCAACCACTTTATCCTTGACTTTATGGATAATTCTCTGGTAATTCATAACAACACCATTGAAACGATAATCATTTCTCTCCAACCAAAGGAACCAACAGATAAGAGTTGGAATAACATTTATTACATGACTTTTAGACTTAAAAAACCAATAATCAAGGAGTAAATAGAAATCTTGGCAGTAAAAAAGTTAAGATGAAAAGTATCCTTAAAAAGTCCAAACTTTAACAGCTAAGGGACCAAAAATGAAAACATGATGCATATTGTCAACATGGTAAATACATTGAATTTAGAAGGAAAGACAAAACCTCTTCTCCTAAAATTCTCATCCGTAGGAATAAGTTTATGTAAAATTCTCCAAATAAACATCAAAATGATACAAGGGAAGTTTTTATGCCAAATCCTTTTAAAAAGCTTGGAAGACCCATGTTTATCTCTGAAGGAATGCTAAGAATCTTTAACTCTAAATAAACCATCTTTAGTGAAATTACATAGCAACACATCTGTGGAGTTAATGTTAATAGGAATCTTTAAAATAAGTTGAAAGATAAAGTCAGTGAAAACAGTAAAAAGTATCTCCAAATCCCAACCATTATTAGAAAATAAGTAATTAACCATAACATTAACAATGGAAAAAGAGTTCAATAAAGAGTCAATCGACTAGCCATTCAGCCAACGATCCTGCCAAAAGTAAATATTACCATTACCAAGACCCCACACAATAGTTGACTCAACATTCCATTTAACATAACAGAGTCGCTGCCAAACTTTAGAGTGGCCTTTACTAAAGCAACACATGGAGAAATGTATCCCCCCACAATACTTGGCCATCATAAAATTGGCCCAAAGACTCACTTTGGTACTAAGGTTGTACCAAAGTTTGTAAGAAAAAGGATAAGCTAGATCAAACATAGTCTTACACCCTAAAGGCCTTTCTTGCACAGTCCCACAACATTTACCCCAGGATGACCAATGAAGCTTAGAACTATTCCCATAACCTTTCCAAAAAAAACTTATTAAAAATTCTATCAATTCTATTGCACACAGTCTTGGTTAGGTAAGTCTATAAGCTCTAAAGTGGGTGCTTCTTCTACTAATAGTTTTAAAGCTCTACTCAAGGACGAGGTATCCAACATTACAAATATCTCCCTAAACATTCCATAAGTGTCTTTAATAATTTAAACAAATTCTTATAAACCTTTTATAATCTTGCTCCTAAGATTTATCTAAGGTCTCTTCAATTATCATTTTTTCCTTAGAACACTAAATAACACTTTCTTAAAAATTAACCCTCAAGTAGTCTTTATTCTTTTATTTATGTAGTTTTGTAGATTAAAGCACATCAATATTTACTTCTTGATCTAAGACAATGAAATCTACTAGGAAGGTAAAATTATTTACCTTAACAATAACTTCATGTACCACCCCTTAAGATATTTAAATGATTTTTCATCAAGCAGAAGTGTGACAATGGTGGGTTAAGCCTCTCTTAAATCTTATCTCCTAAAAATGCATAAAGGCATAAGATTGATCTAGGATCCTAAATTACACAATGCTCTCCCACGAAATATATCACTTACAGTCATGGGAATGGTAAATCTACTAGGATCCTTCAATTTTCTTAGGAGCACATTCTGAATTTTAATGCTACATTCCTTAGATAAAAAGTTACAATTTTAAATTCTCAAAACTTCCTTTTATTTTTAGGTGGGCATCTACTCTAAGGCTTCATAAAAGGGTATATTAATGTTTAACTTTTTGAACACTTCTAAGAACCTAGAGAATTATTTATCTAAGTTTTGTTTAATTAGATTATAAGGAAAATATTATGGCGGTCACTTTGCAACCTTCCTAATAGGTCTTTCAGTTTCTTTAATTGATTCAGGTCATTTTATAGGTAGTTCATCTACTAAAGGTTCTTTTACCTCACTATCCTTTTTAGGATAATATTTATTTTGAGAAGGATTCCCAAGTCTTTCCCTCTACTAAATTAAATATTATGATATTTCTCTTCAAATTTCTTATCTTCAAAATTAGATTGTTCATTATGGGAGTTGTTATTAATTAAACTAGCTAGCTATCTTAATTGATTTTCTATATTTACAAGGGATACAACTTTTAACTTTGCATACGACTTCCCATTTGAATCACTAACTCCTCCTAGAGTGTCCTCTTATCTTTAAACTACTTATTTTTATTAAATCCAATGACATAAGAAGGTCTAAGGTTAACTACATGTTATTAAGGATTACTCCTTTTTTTTAAGAATTATATTGACCTGTATTCCACTAATTATTTCTACCAATATTTTTATTACAATTACATTTAGGTTTATTCCTCTAATCTGTATTAAAGGTTTTTAATAAGGACTTTTTATCTTTGAATGAAATTTAGATTTTCAGAATACATAACTTATGATGAATTTAAACAAACTCTAAAATTATCCAAGTTGTTAGACATGGCTGCTACATGAGCTATCAAAATTAATAAAGCATCTGACTCATAGACACTTTCTACTATATTAGGATTCACCTATTAGGTGGCCTCTAAAATAATTTTGTACCATCTTTTCTATCATGGTGTAAGCCTCTTCAAAACGTGTTAACATTAAATAGCCTCTATGTGCAGCATCCATAATTGATCTAAGGGATCCTAAAAGCCCATTATAAAAAGTATGAATAACCAACAAAATTGAGAAATCATAATGAGGGTACTTTCTAATCTTGTCCTTAAATCTTTCCCAATTATTATAAATAAAGTCTCCTTCAAACTAGGAAAAAGAAGTTATATCATTCCTAAGCTTGGCAATTTTAGAAGGTGAGAAATACATAGCTAGATATTTATGTGCTAACTCAATCCAAGTGGTTATGGAGCATGGGGCAAGCATTTCAACAAAATTTTAGATTTCTCCCTTAGTGAAAATGAAAAAAAATGAAGCCTAATTACAGCATCACTAAAACCACTATACTTGAATGTTAAATAATTTTCTAAGAAACTAAATCTGTGTATGTTAGGATCCTCAACAAGAGTTCCCCCAATTTGAGAATTTTGAACCATCTAAATAATGTCAAGTCTTAGCTCAAAGTTATTTCCTTGAATGGTAGGTCGATTAATACTCTGATAAATTCCTTATATTATTTGATTGGCATACTCCTAAAAATGTGTAGGTTGGTCCTGATCTACATTTAGTTTAGCCATTCCTAACAATAAATTATTTTAAAAAAAAATTTTGTAAGAGTCCTTTTAATTTTTAAATTAAATAATAAGAGCTTATTATTAGTTAAGTTTCATATACACCAATCACATAAGAATTAAATTAATAAAAGAAAACAAAATTAAATAAAACATAGAATAATTATAAAACTTTTACTTTTTTCAAAATTTAAACTCAAAATAAACAAAAAAAATATAAGATATGTATAGTACTATGTATACAGCTTTTTATAATAATTATAATAATACACATTACTTCCTAGAAAATGGTGCCAAAAATTTGATGCAAGATTTATGTAAGTATTTTTGTTATGGGTTGGATTATGCTTAGGCTTTATTTGATATTCATTTCCATAAAAAATGTAAGTTCACATGCCAATTAAATAATAAAAGTTATATGAGAGAGTGTTAATCCCACAAGGAGGTATCCTTCTTCTATAATTACTCTAGTAATGTCTAATCTAGCAACACAATTTATCCAACAAAAATAAAATCAAATTTGTATGCTATCTAGAATGAAAATTGTAGGAGAAATGTAAAGATACAAATAAATAAATTGATTTGGACTAAAAATAATAAAATCTCCTAAGCTTTCATAATTAGACTTTCTTGAAGTTGTTATGAATTATAAAAGTTGTATTCTTAGATCTCTATCAAGCTTGTAAAGATGTGAAGAAAGGTTTATGGAATTCCTATAGTTATTTTATTTGTATAGACCTTAGAAGACTAAACATCCTATATATATGCATGCAACTATTCCATTCAGATTCCCTTATGTTGTCCAATATTCTTCCATCAAGGAAACATATCACATTAGGTTTAGTTCTACATATGTCCATAATATAGATTAAATTAAGAGTGAGAAATATTAAAAAAATAAGCATTAATAATTTAAAGCACAAAAGTCTACGTTAGTGATTACTTAGGTTTTCACAGTATTAGACCAAAACTATGAGTTTAGCTAGCAATAGAATTAAAATAGAACAACGTAATTTTTATTACTTACTCAAGAAAGATAGTACAATTTGAAAAAATAAATTATAGTGAAATGAAGTTTCTGAAAAAAATTATATTGCATATAGGAAGCTCCTTGTGGGAATAAAGAAATGTGATACTGGCCTTTGTTCCACTAGGGCAGTGAATTTATTACCATTTTTCCTAAGGCTCTATCACAACAAATGAGAGTCTTTATAAACTAAAAAAGGAAGAAAGATTTCAAAAGTGAGAAAGAGGCATAAAATAGGCCCAAAAGATGAAAAGATGCGCAATAATCACTAAAAATTGAAATATGCACAAAGTGTATCAAATGTCAAAAGATATGTAAATTTCTCCATACACTAATAAAATAATAACAAAATGAGCCCATAATGTGTTAGTTTCCCTTTCTTTTAAATATTTAAATCTTAGGAAAATTTATGTGCCTATTAATATCGTCCACACTTGAATTTGAAAATCATGATTTCTGATTCATCACTATGCAATGTTATTCTCTTAGATATATTTCTGAGAAGAAATTGAAAGCATCACATTTCCTTTTTAATTTATTTTCTAAATTAGATTTTTATTTAAATAAGACTTTAACCTGTATGGAGCCTGAGCTAGGGTTGAGAATATTCAAATATCTAACCTTTCTAGATTTAGTATTATTAATACATTTTTTACTAAGTATTATGCTCTACTGATAAGGTAAAATTTTCTTTTAGTGTATGTGATCATTTCTTAAAAAAAACTTTGAGATTGTTTTGTGGCAATTTTTGTCTTATTTTTTTTTATTTTATGGTTTTTTTAAAATTTTGGACCCTTCCTGATCATCATCACATTCAATTCTTTGGCATCGCAATTTTTTGTTCATATCATTTGATATGAATCATATTATACTCTATTATCTATAAAAAATATTAAATCTCTGATCAAAACATACCTAATGCCTAATATTGATCAATTATTGGTGATCATAATATATGATTTCCTCTTCAAACTGTACGATCCACATGGCAGGAACCGTTGGATGAATTGAATTCAACAGGTATGATCTTTAATAACACATCGTACAGTATGATCCACCAGTTCATACTATATAAACTCATAAGTTAACGATTGTATAGGGTGACTCCTTGGGAATAACACTTTCTCTTTAATTGTCTTGTATGATGTCTAATTATACTATACGATAAGACCATCTTTTTTTTGATAATCTAGATGAATTGATTGCACAAACCATCTTTTTAACTGAACATCTGTATGAATTGATTACACATGATTGTCCAGTATGGTCTCATGATAATACTATACGATCTTGTAATTTTTATATAAATAATAGGAGTTCTTCATTTTCTTCACACCATTTCAATCCTCTCGTCCTTTACTTTCCTCTTGTACTCTAATTCGTTGGAATGGATGGTGGAAAACTATCCTTAGCACTTCTGGGTTGTTTACCAAGGAACACTATAAATCCTAGATTTACTGACGAAGTTGATGAAGCGGCTCATAATAGTTATTAAACTGCTACAATTACCCTATCCAAATTTTCAATCAAGAGGTTCTAAACTTTTAGTCACTCAATCTTTCTGCCTGCACAACTCTAGTTTCATCCTCATCCTTAGCTTTCAATTCAATTCTAAACATCTATTCAAACTTTTTGTAGGGTTTTAAATTAATAATGAGATTATTTCCCTATAATCTTATGTTAATAAAGGCATGTAGAAATCACTTACCAAGACTATAATGAATTTCTTCACCTTTCCACTACTGGAGACAAAATTTACATTCTAGATTGGACCCATGTAAACACCATTATTAGAGAAACCAATGTTAACTATAATGTAGCCCAAGTTAACATCTTAGTCTAGGATCCACGAATCATTCAAGACATCCACGTAACTCAGTCATTCCTAAAGTTGGGGATCGGATTGACATTACCCTTATTCCCTTACTTACCACCTACTGCATCATGTTCAACATTGACTTTAATATAGACATTCTTAACATTCACTATCTTTATAACCTAACCTATATTTGAGATCCATGCCATAAAAAAATGCTAAAAATTGTCTTAGGACATCTAATTACCTTTTTCCAAGATTCCAAATGTAATCTTCAATTTCCTACTCCACCTGATCACCTCTATGTATTCTATTCCAATAGCTCCATCCACATCCTTAACAGTACATATCATAATATTATGCATGAAGATCCTATGGAAGAGGAGAGCGGACCTATTCCAGCACCTACCTTATAAGTTAACAATCTAAGATTGGTTAGTTTGTTCACCAATTTAATCAATGAGAGGCCCAATTTGACACCTACATAGCGTGGCAGTAGTAGCAGCAATATGAATAAGATCTAGCTCGTTTTGACTCTTACATAGCCCAGCTACAGCAGCAACATGATTAGGATATGACCTTGTTTGGAGAATAGTTTTCCTCCCTTCATTGCTTCTTTCAACCACCACCAATATCTCCACCTAAAGATTCTTCGTTTTTGTAGTTTGCTCTATATTTTTGTTCCTGTGATTATATTATTCTTTACTTTTGTACTTTGTGATGTATGTGTGTGTTTTTTCTTCTTTATGTCTTTTTTTTTTTAGTTGTTTCCTCCCCTTTTATGATGTGAAAAGGGGGAGTAGTATTTTGCACCCTTATTTAAATGAAGGAAATTTACTACTTTGCTTATGTTTGTTTTTGATAATTATTTCTTGTATTTTCTTCATATTAAAAAAAAATTAAAACAAAATTTTATTTTACTCAACTTACTTTCAAAAATTCACCTTCTAAGGAGGAGATTCAACAAAAGGCATAGAATTTGAATATCTTCAAATAATTATATTTTCTATCATTAAAAAGGGTGAGATTGTTGCAAATCTATACTTAAGTGTTGTGATTTTGGTGATAACAAATCTTATTATCCCTTATTGCTATATCCTATCAATTGGATTATAATATATCTATTTTTCCCTACTCACTAACATTTCAGGTTCATCATTCACTAGCAACTTCAATTAGCTAAAGATTGGGTCGACTAGGATTGAGTTTGTTTGTAATTTCTGTTTCAATATAATTTTACCTTTCTTGGGTCAAATCATGTATTTGGTGGACACTAAACTGAGTAACCATACACACATACACATATAAGGGGTTGAGTTTTTTTTTTTTTTTTTGAGAAAATGTTGTTTGCATTAGATAAAATAAAAGCAATTACAACCTATTGGATCTCATCCAATCCAACACATTCATCCTTTAACAATGTTGCAAATGAAGGAGGAATGACACAACTAGAAAAATCTTTCCAAAGAATATTACTAAATAAAGCAAAGTTAGCACAAAGATCTACTAACTTATTACAATTTCTATTGGTTAAAACAAAAAATGACTTGCTCAAAATCCTTTAGAAAAGAAAGTTGACTATCCAACACTTGCTTTGATGAAGCTTTCACGCCCTTAAAGGATCTCTGAATAGAATTAATAACATTCAAGTTATCACCTTCAATGATTAGCCCTTTTGCTTCATGCATCAACCTTTAAATAAAATCATCCAATGAAAGAATGACCATAAGTTCCACTTGAGCTATATCCCAATGAATACCATTAACAC